GTCTAATCTGATCTGCGTCAAGTCTATTTCATATACATAAATATATATGACGTAACAAATAATCGTGATAAAATAAATTTAATAAAAATAATACATGAATTTTAAATCGGCCAATAGAGCTTAAGCGCGAAAAATTAATTCTTCGGAACTGTATCTCTTGGTTTGAGATTTACTAAGTTCCATATATAAATTAATCTCGAACTTACATATGGAGAAAAGGCTCTATTGGCCGATTTAAGATTCATGCATTATTATTATTATTATAATATTGAGAGCCGACATATATTTCAAATTTAATAAAGTTTGTAAGGGACCAACCGGCCAGAAACGTTTCGATCAGTAATTTAATCATGATAGAGATTCGTAGCGATGTATCTTCCAATATTTCGATTTTTCTCGATATGGTAGTTTACGAAAATGAAATTTTCTAAATAAAACCTCGCTGCAGAAAATAATATCATAGACGAATCTATAATTATCTGTTATTATCGATGAAAATCACAAAAGACAAATTATTGAGAATAACACCTGACCCTTATAAATACTTGTAAATAATTTTGTCTTCAACTTTAATATTTCTTACGGAAATAATTAAGATAATGTTTCGTCGAGGACTAGTGTTTTTCACGGTAGAGATAGTTTTATAATCTGATTAGAGAGAGCCTCGCGAAAGATGCGAAAATGGCACAAAATTTTTAAAGTCTTCCTCCTGCACTCTTCTTGATTGCTACAATAAAATATGAATGTTGTTACTACGCAGCAATTATACGAACAACCGTCTTCCTACACTTCCATTTACATAATATTTCATCACACTACACATTTGCATTTTCGCATCGTAGATAAATCTTTTACTGCTAACAAGCTGCAATTATATTAAAGCGAACGAAGTTACGAGCGCAAAATATGCTTTTGGAAACACGAAATCCGCGGCAGAAGCACGTCTCGTTTGAATTTGTCCAAACGATTCCGCACCGTTGTCGCAAACTTGTCAGAGTCGTTCGCTCGAAGCTACACGAGCTATACCTACCGAAAGTTGCAGGAATAAATGTTCGTATCAATTGACGTCCGGGTGTACTTCGCGCATCTCTCCTCGTTCTGAACGAGAAGTACGCTGCCGGAATATCAAGCAGTTCGTTTGAATGCCGATTTCTATCGGCAGAGATAGAAGCGTAGTTAACGAGGATGGATCCGCTCGATGAGACGCGGACGGAGCCTCAAAAAAATTCAATTTGCCAGCTTCGGTGTAAAATTTCTGTCCAATCTGGAATATAGATGTCTTACGTGATGGCGTGTAAATTAAATCCATGTTCTTCGGGAGAAGAGCGAGAGAGATAAATAATGGGGATAATAAATAGAGGAATAAATTTCAAAGGTTTGGACATTCTATTAATTTCGTATTCCAGTGAATATACTAACGAAAAAATGTTCAAAGATTAAGAGAAAAATTTCTGTCGAAGAATAAGAATAATCCTTTAACAATCTGTTTTTCTCTGTCTCTCCATTGTTCTTTTTCCCTTTTGTTCTTGTCATAAATCTTACGAATTTTCTGCATCCGATTAAGTACTTATAAATGCAAATAAGCATAAACAATTATTCTCAAAAGTACAATGAGTATTATAATACAATAGCTGGATTCAAGATACATAATAAATAACCGCACAAATATTATGAAATTTTAAGCTTCTTCATTTTTTTATTATGCTTTCTTCTATATTGCGTTTTAAGCACTATGGGTCTTCTTTTTTATTCGGAATTTTCTTAGGGTTGGACAAATTAAATTAACTAGGAGGTATCTTTATTATAATTACGCAACGCTTTGTACAAATATATCGGTCTTGAGATGAATAATTTCAGGCATCAATATTTGAAAATTTGAGAGAGGAAATTCGCCAATGCGATTCCAATTTTTTGCGAGCGTAGTTCGTCAAATTGGACTAGTTTTCAATTGTGAAAGAGCAAAGGCAGACTCTCGTTTGTGACATGTCATGTTATACCCGTTTTTAGGGCATTAAAAAAATTTTTTTACTCAAACTAGTTGATACGTTCGCTTAATAAATTTTGTATTAATTAATGAAATAATTATTTAAAAAGAAATGAGTAAAAATTCTTTAAAATGAATGATAGATAAAATACATAAAAGTATATTTGCGAAGATGTAGTATTTTTTCTATCATGACCTTTGTAACACGTTTCAATCATAAATTTTAATTACATTTATCTTTTATCGAGATATATTTTTATTATTACATATATAAAAAATACATTTTATAATAGCATTAATAAAACATTGCCAATGTATATTTTTGTTATATCTTGTATTAAATAAACGTAAAAGCGCGAAATAAAAAAGATAATAAAATTGTTCAACGGAGAATGAAATAGGTCGATATATATATATATTATCGAAATTTTTCCGCGAATGATTATTGTTCATGACACGCATTAAAGAAGAGATCGAGGGATTTATTCCCGGAATGGACGAGGATGGACTGATGGTTCGTTCTGCTTTCCATTCTGTTAAATTTCTGCCCGTCGTCGCGTCAGAAAGGCTACGCTTGCCTCTTTTGTACGTGTAGATTGGGGTGGGGAAAAAAAGTTTTAATCTCCGGTGAAACAAGCTTTCGTCGACGTCATAAAAGCGCGCCCGGCAGCGTATTGACGCTCTCGCATCGCGGCTTGTAATCTGGCGATGATATACGTTGGCGATGCGTAATGAGTAATTCATTGAGCAGTATAATACTTGACCCGGGAAATTAAAAAAATTAACCGAGAAAAATAATGAGAGAATTGTGTGTGGTGAAACAAAACAAATATTTCATGAGATTCATCTCTCCGCGTCGTTATGACAAATATACATAAATGAATAATTTGTATTTTTGTACGTGTGATTTAATTACCGAGTATTAAGAAGTCGATTCTAAAGTCTCTCCAAATTTTTCGAGAACGCAGAAAAAGTAAATTCATTAAAATTGTTGCTTAAATCTGAAAAAAAAAAAAAAAATGTTTTTATATACTCTTCTCTATATTTTCTCCTTTAATCGTGCGAGTTTACGTGCTGCGCAGGGAAATGGCTCTTACGGGGGCGCGATAAATTAATGGCTTCATACGTTCCCGATATTTCGCAAGTTTCGCCCGCGATGCAGCAGCTGCGTCTGATCGCGCGCTGCGCGCATTCACTTGGCGGCCGTTAGTAGTGCAAGCATGATAAGGTCGGCCATTTGGCTGACCACTTTCAGATATTACCACTTGCAGTTCCCGCCGAGAGCTTCCCGACTTAACATGAACGATCATATTTCTGGTTTATGTGCACGGCGGCTGCTTACACGTACATTGTAAATCATTGTTTATAACCGTGTGCGAGATTGGATGGACTCTGGTGATAATCCCGTACCTTACGAACGCCTTGATTGTACATAATGCAGGCAGAACGATGCGCGGTACAAAATGTTACAAGGAAACGATATATACGTATAACACATTTCTCGCTAATGTAGCGAATCTTTAGTTTTAAATATAGTTTCGCGTTATTTACAGTTTATTTAACGATTTTCTGTGTTTTGTATAAAGAGTAACTGCCTGCGTCACTACTATATTTTATTGTTACGTCACGGTGAAGGAGAATTATTAACACGAAACAGAACCGGGAGTGATTTATCATCTCATCGATGCAATCGGTCATGACGACACGCAATGGCGTACACCGCATGCAATGCATTATGCATTTGTCGCTGAGTAAGGAGATAGTAGAAAGTTCCTTTCATTGCCTAGATACATGTAATATATTATTTATATACATGCGATGCAAATAAAATTATCGATATTTTGATGTATTAGTTATTGTATGACGTCAATCGAGTTTGCCTTTTCGAGACGCACATTGAAAAAAATATTTATGTGAAATTACGTGATTATGCTGGACTTTTTTTTCGATCCATGCAATATTGTTACTCATATGGCAGATTACAGATTATATGTAATTTCGTATGAAATATATTCTTATATTTTCAAGATTAAAAATATTCAACTGAACATGGAATGTTATTAATAAAATGAATAAATGCTTATAAAATAAAGTTCTAATAAAGTAAAAATATTAAATTTAAAATTACAAGTGATTTTTGCATAAAAATGTTAATTTTGCATATATTTTTACATTAATATGTATTTTCTTTTAAAAAATTACAGTGATAATTAAGTAATTTTTTCAGTTTTGAACGAGTAATTTCCATGTAAAAGTACACGTAAATTTTTGCATTGACCGTTCACATTAATGCCGCGGAAATATATTTTCTATAAGAATCACGTGAAAATGTTTGTGTGACAAATCTTTCCGTCTCGCTAATTGCACCGCGCGCGTCGTTGTTTATCACAAATGAAGCAATGCAATGCAATGCCTCATCGTACCGCGAAACTCCACAGCGCCATTATTACGCTCCGCGTCAACTCCGCGTCGCCGTGTGTATTATGTCAACGTGCATTACGCTAACTCCGACGCCAAAGTATCGCGAACTAAAGTTTGCAGCCGCATCGCCGAGTTGTTGTTTGCGCCATTTATTACTCGCGACAGTCCCCTATGCATCTCTCCTTTTTTTTATTGATTTACTTGCTGTCGCGCGCGCGGCAATTACTTCACACGCCTGTCGTGCATTCATCCTGCGACAGATAAACTAAAAACACCGATGACAATCTCTCCTTTCATTTCACAATAATCCACCAATCTTCGAACATGGATATAAATTATAGATATTAATGCAGGTGTACATATATATATATAAATTTATATACAATATAATATATGAGATATAAATTAAATTAATATTAAATACGAATTAATTATAATAGTAATATCAATAATATAGCAATTACTAATATTATTGATATATAATAATTAATATTAGATATAAATGAGGTCTTTCACCTTACTGATGCAATTTTTTTCTGCTTTTATTGGCGTAGTAAATTTTTAAACGTACGGGGTTTTCCTTTTCCGACAACAGTCGGAGGTGTTTCAGGCTGCGGTTGCAGCAGCCGCGGCTGCAGCTGCAGGAGGTGGCGGCCAGCAGCCCGCACCGACACCGGGTGGCAACGAGACCAACCCCGAAGGCGGAGTGGAGGCCACCACGTTGGTACCTGTCACCTCAGGCGCGACGACACCTGCGACAGCGACACAGGGTACCGACCTCAAAGGTCAACCTAAACGCCTGCATGTCAGCAACATACCCTTCCGCTTTCGAGATCCCGATCTCAGAGCAATGTTTGGGGTAAGTGCGATTTTTTTTACTTCAATATTTTCGCCGTCTTTCCCGTATCAGAAACGGTGATTTTAGTATTAGGTTTTCTATTAAATACTTTTTGTTAAAATTTTAAAAGAAGCTTAAGTTTTTTTTTAATAAAACGATCGGTTTCTATAGAACGATCTTTTATAGATAAACCTAGCTTTTTGTATAAGCAGATTGAATTTACAAAGAATTTGTGACATATATGTACATACTTCTATTATCAACTATTTTTTCTGTTTTATACATGTACATATATTCGAGATAAAAATATATTTAAAATATGGAAAATGTATAAAAACGAATAGTTTTTTATTCGATAAAAAGGCATCTTGTATTACTTTAATAAAGTACACATCAATTTTGTGTAGAATAAATAATGTCAATTAAATTATTAGCAAATTTTACATGTATTATTTAAAATCTGTTTTGTAATGACTATTTTTCGTATATTTCGTCAAATATAGAAATAACATACTTTGTGTTTGTAACTTTAATTTATGAATGAAAATTCAAGGAAAAGCTTGTATAATCAACTAATATAATTATACAGTTATTAACGCAGGGCAGTTTAATTAAAGGATTAATAAAATCAGGAAAGCTTTGTGTCAGATTTCCTTTGATGCCATGATTGAAAATTTCATTATAATCCGTGTCAGCACGTTAATATATATTATAATATATATTATATATTTAATACTATATATATATATATATATATATATATATATATATATTAGCATTATATAACATATATTCTAATAAAATCAACTTTTTAGGAATTTTTATTTTATTTGTTTTATTTATGTTTATTAATAATATATGTATGATATTACATTAATATCATACTGTTGTATTATTAACTTGGTAAATATATTCTCTTTTCAGCAATTTGGGCCAATCCTGGACGTGGAAATCATATTTAACGAAAGGGGAAGTAAGGTAAGTTCAATTCGAGCCTTTAGGCTGCGAGCCACCCCTGTCAACCTGCCCCTGATAATACCGTTAATTTTAAGCTAATATCGTGCCAAAAATCCTCGCATCCAGAATGAATGCATTTATAAATTTAAAAAAATTTTTTTTTTTTTTTTAACTGTATATATTAAATATAATCTATTCATTCCTGTAACTTGGAAATATTTACTTTATGAATGTATTATTAAATACATGTCTTTTTAATCAATAATTTGAGATGAATCAAAATATTTTTGGAAACCACGTTACGCAATTTCGCAGTCCTTATTTTCAAAATATTCTCATAGTACAGATTTTATCTTTTTTTTTTATCTTTGCTGTTCGTAGTAATCATGAAAACTGGTGTCATAAACGTGACTCGACTTTTCTATCGCGTGCGTGACAGTTTTTCTCGTTTATTTATTAAAATAGTTTTCCGAGAACGTTCTGGAAGCGAGGATGCGGAGGCCATAATGATCTTGTTAAGGGATGCAGCATCACGAGCGCTCAACACATATATATATATATGTTTATATATATATATATATATATATATATATATATATGTATATTCGATATAAAAGTAGAAGACTGAAGAACTAATATTAAATCTCGGAAAAACAGCGATATCCCTTGATGAGAATACGAAAACGTGATGCTGCAACCGCGCCACGTGTATCCGCTATACACGTTTTATTCCAGCGCGATGGCGACATTTTGTTGGCGTGTTTACTTATTAATCTCGATGTAATTTTGATACGAAATTGCAAAGTGCCATTGTCAGATATCGCTTTTTCGCCTTTAATCACCGACGTTACGCAATTTTAAACAATGACTCCGATACATTCGGATAATATCCGAACTTTTATGCACGAATTTTAGTCTATATTTTAATGTCATATCTTGACAAACTTAATCGCGATGCTCCTTCATATTTTTCTATTTTTTTTTTTTTTTTTAATTTATTGTTTCAATCTATCGATCATTTTCCGTCGGTTTCACCCGTTGTTTCTCTCTCGAAAACCACCACATCGATGCTCGACGGAAGCCGGAAATCGTCACCCGAGACCATAGTCGCGATCACCGACCGTTTACGCTAACGACGTCGCACAAATATGTGGGCTTTGAAAAACAGAAACGAAACGCATGTAAACGAGTTTGAGATGCAAATTGTTTGCAATATGGATGGCAACGGGAAGAGGCCGGATAAGATCCGCAGTAATGCATCGTGCCGACAGTCGACATCCGGCACGGTGTGTGCATATTCAGCGTCTTAGCGTCAAGTGCACTCAAGTGCACTTTATCAAGTCGCACCGGTAACCCAGTATCCCACCGACGTCTGCAAACGTCACACGTGGCGACCTGTCACTGATTATACGTGGGCGAGGTCGTGCCTCGAATCTATAAATATATAGGACATTTGGTATATCACGACTTTAATGTCATCATCTGTCAATTTTTTTGAATCTGTCAATTCTTCATACATATTTTTAAAATTCTCTCCATCTTTAAAAATATCGTTTTCACATATTCTTGATCGATTTTATAAATGTAGACGAGATGCAATTTTTTGTGATACAATTTTTGGTGCTATTTTAAAGGCATAAATAATTCTTGTATTCTGATGATTTCTAAGTTTCTTTGATATCAACTCTTAATAAACCTTTAAAAAGTTTTCTGTATTCGATTACATCAGAAAACTGAAGCTGGTAAATTTGAAAATATTTTGAAGTTATCGCAAAACTTATTCCGGCAATTTGTTATTTTTGAAAAATGAGGCTTGGATATATTTATCAAAAGTTGATTTCACGAAAAGAGGGATTGCGTGGAAACGGTTAGCTTGCAAATAATGCCTTCCCCGAGCATAGATTTACACACGATATTTCCGGCTAGTTAAAGTACAAAGTTCAAGGAACTTTGTGCAAGAATATCGCGAGAAATGAGTCTCGCTGGAGTTTGTTAATTCCAATCTCTCGAGTTTATGTCGACAATTTCTTCAACTTCGTATTACCTCATCGGCAGTGTTTTCGATTTCATCGATGCCATTCTGCAAACAAATTCCTTGTGCAATCAAAGTGCATCAAAGTCACGCAAACTAGTATTATATACTTTTTTAGCGGACGTACCATGCTCTTTCTTTCGCGTTGTACTTCGCAATCGGCTTTCCTCAACGAATTCTTACCGGCATTATATTATACTATTTTAAGATTTACAAAATCGATGTTCCAATTACCAATGCTTGGCAACCAATTAGTGCACAGACAAAAAGAAGCTCGTTTCGTGCTGGGAATGGAAATAATATTCCGATATCCGCCGTTATTCGTTAGTAAATGTATTTGTTCGACATCAAAATGATATATATAATTTCCGATTAATCTGATAATATTATTACATAGTCACCGTAAAATATTTATCGATGTGAATTTTCGAGAGAGAAAAAGCGTCGTAGAGAGAGATACAACGTCAGTCCTGGGGGAGAGTAAGAATCGGCAATCATATACCTATTTGTCGTCGATTAGATCATTATAGTCGAATCCGGTCCGTCTGACGAGCTCTACGGACAGGAAGTCGATGTCGCTGCGCATCCGTACTTGTAACGACCAATCACGGACGTGATATAGAATGCGAAATAGGTTGCTTCCAGCTTCCGGAGGGCGGAACGCGCACGAGGGAACTAATTAAACTCTCGCGCGACTCGTTAATTAGCGCGCCCGATCAACGAACGAAGGCTCGAGTGCGATGCACGATTTTTTTTTTATTTCTTTTCCACTTCCGTTCGCGCATTGCGGACTCAATCGATGCGGATCGGTCGCGTGAAAGCGGCTTAATCGGGAAAGCACACGTAAAAGAAATCCCGATAAGGGAACACAATACTAATATTTCGTTGCTGTATTACGGCCAATTTGTTAACTTATATTCCCGGTTCTCACGTGACCGACCGCTCCTGATAACAAAATATAGTTCGTACATACGGTTTAATCCGTCCCCATCTCATTTTTATTCCTTTTTTTTTTTTTTTTTTTTTTTTCGTCCCTCGCGCCACGTGAAATTTTTGACATTTCGCGTAGGAATGATTTATTTATGAACGACATGATTCTTAAACGGATTACGGTTACTTGTCAGACTGCACTTTGATAAGGAGGGAAACGTATAATCTTGGAGCGAAATTGACGATATCTGACGTCAATATGGTCTCTTCATAATCCATCGCTATCATGTGCGAGCCGTTTCGAGCAATTATCCGTACGCGTCACATTAGAAATCCCGCGAATATCGAGTCGACAATGGCACTATCGCGTTGTCTTTTGCAATGCAAATATCTGCCCGTCGGCACGCGGGAAAGCACACGGAATTTACTTGGAACCGGTATAAGTGTCGCCGTCGCTTTAGTGCTTAAGTGAGTTCCGAGGACGTGACAGGATCTGATGCTTCGCTATTAAAGGACGAGCGAGAATAATTATTAATCTAAAGCCTAAGGCGTCGATAGTGTGTATTATGTTGTCCTGATAAAGTGAGTTTTTCATAAAACGAAAGATTTTATTAGCTGTCATCAGCTGTCAGGTCGGCAAAAGAAATGTCAAAAATGTAGAAATTTATTAGAGATAAAATAATAATAATAATAATCGACGATCTAAGTAAAATATAACAAAAAAATATGTAACTTTTGCTATTTGTATAGTTTATACAAATAGATCTCGATATCGATATTTTTGGAGCGACAAGATCCTGTTACGAACTGCGGTAGAAATTTTTCAATCGTCACACATTGCTTTTGTAGAATGCACGTGAAACAACGATTTCACGCGTCAGATTTTGATAGTCGATTCAACGCTAATACCTTTCGCCTATCGATAGTATTTCGGAACGAAAAAGAAGGAAAAAAAATGAAAACGTCACTTGCATGCTGCAAAAGCAACGTGTCATTAGTTATAAAACAAAAACGAGTGAGTGATCGTGTGTGTGATTCTGTGATGAGAGAGACCTTTTCTCGAAAGCTTCGTCAATGTAAATGGAATGTGGCATCCCTAATGAAGTGCAGCATTTTGGAAAAAGAGATACTTTGAAACCAAGGTGGGAGAAGCGCGCAAACCGAGAATATTCGTCCTAATGAGCCTAATTTTTTTTCTTTTTCTCGTCGTACGTAATATACATATTTATACATACATATGCACATATGTATGTATATATATTTGGAGATATATTTGAGCAAAAATATGTGCAAAAATATTAGTGATAAAAATACGTAGCTGTACATTTTGTTTGCATTAATTATAAAAAGTAATCAGTACATCTGAGGATACACACATATACGCATAGGACATGATTAAATACTTGAAAGTATTTGGTGCGCGCGCTTTTCCAACGCCGCGTATGTGCTAATGACACGTACATACATATACCGATATAACCAATGGTGTTAGTTCTCGTAGTTGTTAGACGAGCTGTTGCATTTTTACTAGCTAGCCTTCCGCATTTTATCATTATTTAGCTCCCATTGGTTATAAGACCGGTCGTTGCATCTCGCATACCGGATGTCCGCAGCTGCAATATTGCAATTATAAGGAACTTTCAGAAAGTACAAACTGCTATTTTATTAATCTAGTTGTGACATTTAGCTTTTCATAATATCGTGATTATATTTTCTTAAACGTTCCAAATAATCGCAAAATATAATAAAACAGTAAACTTATAATTTATTTCAACTTGCATTCTAACATAGATAAGATAGTGGAAATTTACAAGGATATAAATAAGCAAATAGAGATAAAAGATTACGCGAAATATTTGCTGTTGAAGGAACGATGAAAATTCTAACAAAAATTTCATTATCGAGAACTCGCCAAGTATTAAAATTAATTTCGCGTCTTCTGTGTTATATGTAATAAAAATGAAATTGAACGAAGTAAAAGACCATCTCTCTTAATTAGTAGCAGCGGACATCGCGGTATGCCGGGTGACCTGACCGCCGTCACTTCCGGTCGCGGAGG